ATGAGAGCATTGTTGTAACTGCTGCCCGTAGACAATTTGGCCACAGACCCTCTTGCCTTCTTTCGGCCCTCAAATGTCAATTTGCGCGGTGGTCGCGCAGAAGGTCTTACTGCCGCGGATGGCTTTGGCTATCCACCGCTTCCCTACAGCGTTGACACCTCCGCTTTCATGGGCCTCCCCGAAGAACTTCCCGAACCAACCCCTCCTTCTCCCGAAGACTCCGCCAATACTTATTCCGGCCTTGAGATATCGACCGCCAGCCCACCAGCTCTTGACGTTCTCGAACCGCCGCCTTCGGACAGCCCCGAACAGGTGTCACTTCGTTTCTCACAGTCTCCCGTGTGGCACCTCTGCAGTTCGAATCAATACACCCGTGGTTACGTGTATACTGCTGTGCACAAGTGCTCGCGTGTTGAAGAGAAGAACGAGCAACTTCGTACAATCCCGCACCCCGCGCTCGCTGCTGCACAGTTTGATGATACAGACATGCCAATTCGGAGCGACATCCCGGGCTGCGTGCGCATCGTGCCCGGGGTCCCTTTTGCTATCGACATAGACGGCAAGAGCGAGCAACGTCTCACCGCCTTCTGCGTGCATACCCCCGAGACACTTTCGGCCTATAACGACTTTCACGAGATCAAGCCCGTGTTGGAACGCTTCTACAACGTGGTCTGCAACGGTCAGAAGGAGAGCGAGGTTCCACCCTTGCCAGAGTTCGGTCCCATCATGTCCAACGACCTCATCCGAAATGATCGCTCGCAGCCTGCCACACACGCCGGCACAGTAGATGGGTCCTACAATCTTGCGGCAACCCGTATGGAAGGGCACGGTGCCGGGATCTTGCGCCCAGCAAAACAGAGCAACTTTGAGACTGCACGAGCGGCCCAATGGGTGCTTACACGGTGTCTCTTTCTCATATGGCAATATATTGTCCCAAAGATGGTGTCTAAAGCGGAGCGAGCGGCTTGGGAGTACTATTATGCTGCACAGAACGTCTTCGGCATTGGCGGCATGGGCTTTGCGAACGCGGCTATCCAACTCAACGTGTCGAGCGTTTTAAACAAGAGTCTATCGGTTGCCATCGGAAAGTTGCAAGGCAACCTGCACGTCGACAAGCATGATGATCCGTACG